TGAGCACTCCTTGTTATTCCAGCACCAAGCCCCCGCACAGCTCTTGTAAATGCATTTTAGTCCTAAGTCGCTCTGGCTAGTACATCCCAGTAAAGGTGTTCTACAGTGTGGAAATTCTGCAATGCACACAAACTGTTCACAAAATCCTGGGAGGAGTCAAGTAAAACAGGCCTAATTAAAGTTTAAACCCAGGGATCCAGTGATGAAGGCAAATGTAATGTAATGCTGGCCTATCACCTAGTCACCAGGAGTCTTTGCTCTTCCTTCACTTTAACGTCCATTAACTCATTTTGGCCTCTTCTGCTGCCAAGATCCTAGATGTTGGTTCCTCCTCCACCTACTGGATTTGCATCTCCACAATAAATGCACCACATTTTTCTTTCTTTCCTTGATCTTCAACCCTTTCTGCACAGCCTTTTCTGCGCTGTTCATCTCCTGGTTCTTCTACTCTATCACTGCCCGTGACAGATACTAAAAGTGCCTTTCCTCTTCTCTCACACATGACTGGATGACTGGGAACTCATGTGAGCCTCTTGTTCTACCTCCTTCTGACTATTCTGTGCAGCCAGAGGGAAACAATGGTGGTATCAGACCCTCATATGAGTGGTTGGCAATCTAGGTGTAGTAAATTCCTGCTGAGTTACAATAATTTCCCTCAGCTTTTCCACAGGTTGATAGCAGGGAGAAGAGTAGAAGTCATAGCACTACAAGGACCCCCAATTACCCTGACACTGGACTAGGGACTTGATCCCCCTTGGGGTGCTAACTATGGAAGTCACCTAAAAAGAGCTGCCTGATCTGCTGAAGAAGGGAACCTGCCACCCCTCCTTATTGGGCAGACTGTGTGCCCCTCTCTCCAGATAAAGGAGGCTCCATCCACCCATTTGTGCATCTGTTTGTGGCTGACACCATCTCAACCAAGCCACAATGGGGTGTCAGCAGTGAAAACAGAGACCTAGAAGAGAGCGGTGATGCTGGGTTGTCCCTATCAGCAGCAATCAAAGGTAAGAGGAATGGAATAGTTCAAACCTCTCAACTCCTGAAGAAGCACCTCACTGGTCTGAAAGGCCGGTGTGATGGCACCCTTTTTCTTCTTGCCCATATAACATGTACAAGAAGGACAGACAGGCAAGGGCTATCTGGCTTCTCTTCCCATCTCAGGGAGTCTTTACAGTGGAGGAAATGGCCTCTTGGAACTTCTCCATGCAGCTAGAACTGCCAGCAGCATGTGCAGCAGGCTGGGGAGAGGCAATGAAGCCTTTGTGTTCTTTCTGTGACCCTCTGGCTGAGTCCTTTTCATCTCCAACTGCCCACCTCAATTCCTGGATTGTAAACTCTGACACATGTCTTGGGTATAGGTTCAAATCGTGCCTAACCTAACACAAACAAGAATTATTCTTTTTTAGGGATTATTAGGGTGGCAGAAAGGTATCTGGGCTCAGCAACAGGGAGCCTGCTGGCTGAACCACCTGAACAAAACCATGAGGGACTAGCTGGGAGGAAGACAAAAAACAAACTCATTAACCAGATGTGGGCATTTTATCTATGCATTACCAATCTGACTGCTACTTATTAGTTTATCTGGTCTGGTAGAAGCATGACAGCACCGTGATTAAGGTACCTTATTACAGATCCAGAGGCATGAGCTGCAGACTTGTGCTGTTGGCCACACACAGGCAATCCTATTCTATCTGGTCATTTGGGGTGGAGGGGTCAAAGCCACATCACTGCCAGTGCTGGTGATTATAGAAACTAGTAGGCTTTAGTCACGGCTGCTCACTGGGTTGCTAGGTTCAGAACAGTCCTCTGATCTTCCATTAATTTAAGTTGTGAATTTTCCAGAGATTTTCAGTGCTTCGGTACTACCTGGTATGGAGCTTGAGCTGTTTTATGCTGACAGCTCAGTGATGATAAGTATCACCTGCTGACAAATCAAGATGTTCCTGATTTGTTGTGGCTCTAACTGTGGCATGGGAAGAAACAGCCTCCTGCTATTTAACAGTAGTAAAGCATTCTCATGCCATGATCTTAAAATACACACACACTGGGTCTGTTCTTCTCCATCAGTGTCATCTAAACCTCAAGCTGGGAATGAGAGAATTACTCAGGGCAAGTAATGCAATAAAGTCTAGGTCTTAAAAACACAAGGCTCCATCTAACAGCCTCTCCAGAGACCCCTGATTTGCTTAAAGGGCTCTGCTTTGTAAGTCAGTGTTGGCGTGACTCCTTGAGGAATTCTCTGTGACCTTGGAGGCTTTCACACAAGGATTCCAGCAGTGATGACTTACAGCCTTCTCTGTATTCAGGCCCAGAAAACAAAAAACATTTATTTTCTGAGGAAGCTCAAACTTGTATTAATAGCTAAGCTCTGGAACAAATAAAATTCCCTTGCTCTTGTTATAGTTGAAGCATCTTGGATCACATAATGTGTAACTGCACCTGTTGGTGTCTTCTTTTTGTACGATCCACAAAATAGGCTGTGCCCAAATTTTATTCAAGTAGGCACTCATTCATGCATACAGATCTGCCCAGATGCCAGTTCAGATGCCCAAGAGAAGAACTCAGATTACTTTTATTAAAGGATCGTGTATAAAAGTCACATCTTGGAGCAAAAGTCAGTGGTAAGACTCTCATAGACAGCAGAGGCACAGGAAAAGGTTGAATACATGGGCAGATGGACTCAGATAAAGATACTGCAAGTGACGACTGAGAGTCAGGGTGCCTTTGCAGCTCTGCTATTGACTTGCTGGTTGACCTTGGGCAAATCACTTTCTCTGACTCACTGTATCTGTCTGCAACTTGGGATGATAATTTTGCTACATACTTACCTCATAGACATGTTGTGCAGCTCCATTAATAAGTATATGTGAAGTGTTTGGTGATTCTTGGATGAAAGAGGTCAAGAATGGCAAAGTATTATTTTACAACCAAAACATAGCAATCATAACTCCCCTGCTGTACCGCTGGCTTTTAACAAAGCTTTGTAGGAACCAATAACATTAATCAATGTAGTGCCATAAGGAGCAGGGGACAAAAGAGGGAAGGATTGTGAGATATACAAGGAGAGCTGAAGAGACAGCCATGCATGACGTTCTTTTCATTTCTTTTGAATTCCCTTCCATCTCAGCATTAGGAGGAGGTGCGGGGATAACAGCAAAGATGTCAACAAAACAAAACAAAAATCAAAACTGATGATATTAATAAGGCCTCTGAGGCTCGAGCACTGCACAAAAGGGGGATCAGAAAACAGCTAGGCTCTAAAAGGCACAGATGACACCGAAACAGGGTGAGAGCGAGAATATAGGAGGGCAAAGAATAAAAGTTGATCCATCTAAAGGAGGAGGAAAATGGGGAGGGGAAGGAGAGTTTGGTTTGGTTTGGTTTTTTTTCTGTTTGTTTTCAAAAAGGATCTCACACCTGATATTCCTCGTTCCATCCATTTCGGTTCACCAAGGGCAATGAAGAAATTCTCCTGCCTTTCGTATTCCTCCTCATCTACTATTTTAACCCTTACGGTCTTCCTGTAGGGACAACAAGAAAGACAACCGTGTACAGTGGGTTGGCTGGTTGGAGCGGACGCAGCAGCACCACACGTTTCTCACATGCAGCCCATTCCCGCCACTGCCTCCAGCGGCGTTTCTTTTGTGTGTTTTATATGGCGCATCGGTCGTAGTTGGTCTTTGGGTGAGTGGGAGAGTGTTAGAGAAGGAAGATGGGGATTGGCAAGGGAGTGAAGGGGAGAGGAGGGAGGTTTGGACCTTGCTGATGGTTAGTGGGAGGTGACTTATGCAGCACATTTAGTTTAGTGTCACATGGTAAAAATGCAAACATTGACAAGTCAGAAATAAATGAGAGCAAGACTGAGCAACAAATATATGCAACACATTTTAGCTGAAAGGCCAATTGCTTCTCCTACCCTCTCATAATTAATATGTTAGAGCTAGAAGATGAGTAGGGGAGAGAGAGAGAGAGGGGGACATGCATACAAACACATACACACTTATGGAGGCTTTCTATTCAGGCTACAGCTCTTATTCAACTTTGAGGGGGTTGTTTTTATACCTCTCTTTTTAAACTGAAAAAAATATCAGTATCCTATGACTATGCTGCTTGTTTTCCCTGACTTGGTTATTTCCGGATGGAGATTTCAGTTTGATGTGGAAATAGGCTTTGCCACTGCTTGGAAAGACAGAGCCAACATAAAACATCCTTCAGGCTGAAACACCTGAGCCACTAAATTAGAGTTGCTTCTTCTCCCCCTCCTTCCCAGCTATGTACGAGGAGCACTGTGTGCTGTGTCTACCACTACTGCAATGCGTAAAGCTGCTGTGGAAGAGCAAAAGAACTTAGAAATGGTGCGTGTCGACTCTCTCTTCTGTCCTGACAATGCTTATGCCCTGAGTTGGTTTGTGATAAGCTTGTGAAGGTTGACAGACTTACAGAACACTCTTACGAAATTACCACAAGCTACTTGAGTGTGGGCCTTGACTTTACATTAGTATGGGTCAGATAAGCATCCTGCCACAGCTGTGAAGGGGCCGACAGCTCTTTTAGGTATCTGTGTGTGTTTTGTGTAGATGTTTTTCTAGGGAAGTTTCATGGCTGGGCATCAGGATCAGTCCTACTAGGATCACCACCCAGTGGGGGCAACTGAAAACCCCAACATGCACTATTACAGTAACCTGGGGGTACCAATATGATTTCTCTCCCCCAACATAGAGATACATGCCCTTCCACTCCCACACACAGTTTTCCCCCGCTCTCTCTCATCCACTTCCCAAGATTACCCTCCTCCCAAATGTAGGGTCCCATCCCATTGATTCCCCTAGGTACCATGTGACAAATTTGTGCGTGCACAGCAGTGTTAAGGACAGAGCGGTTGGAAACAAAAAGAAATAACAGAAAAAAGGGAGAAAAAAAAAAGGAGGAGGAGGAGGAAGGAGAAGAAAGAGAAGAGGAAAGAAGAATGTTAATGTTAGTCTGGAGGACCAGTACTACACCTTTCTGTAAACTCATATCCACCATGCGTGGGCTCATCAGCTCAATGAAGAAATTCTTGTTTTTCTCATACTCCTCATCATCAATTACCTTGATGTGAACTGTTTTGCTGTGGATGGAAAAATAATAAGTGTCATAAGGGGGAAGAGGGGACAGGAAAGCAGGGGTGGAAGAAGGTAAGAGAAACTGAACAGGAAAATTAGACAGTCAAAGTTTACTCACCCATGGAACAGGATTAAAGTGGCCCTGCAGAGAGCCCCCATGTCCCTTCCTGTGCATTTGTATTGGCAGAATTTCTATTTTAACCAATATAGCAACTTTACTAATATAAGTACCTAGGTGTCCCTTGCAAAATGCATGTATGGGTCCACAAGCATGCATTTACCTATGCAAAACAGGTAAGTGCAAAGCAACTGGTAATTAAGCCCAGCTTGTGTACATAAATGCATGGTATGCCCACAGGGTGACTCTTGGTGCTCACACACACACACACACACACACGCTCAACACAGGCACCACATTTGCTCAGATATGGGGAAGTTTTGTCTGAACAGTCTTCAGACAAGTAAGTCTGAAGATGAATGAACAAATCAGTTCCTCTCCACCTAGGAATATAGTGAAACCCTTATTTCTGATCGCTTCACGTTAAAGGAAAGCATGCCATGGAGTAATCTCACTCCCACTGGAAAATCTGCTTCTGCTGGCTATAGTGAGTTGTAGCAGGTGCCCACTAGATGAATTATGGGGCAAAGCCTGACATCGTTACTCAGGCAAAACTCTCAATTATTCCACTGGGATTTTAATAAAATCAAGATGAAAGGATCTGCTTCTATATATGTTCCTTATTTCTAGCCAGAAAATGCCTTCAGCAGGTGTCCCTTCATTTCCCCTCCTACACACATGCACGTGGCAATCCAAGTCTGAGTGCCTTGATGACTTTGCCAATGGTATTGTTTTCCCTTCAGTTACTGTCACTCTTGATCACCTCAGGCTGTAAATTACAGTCTGCACTTAGTTTCCTTTTGTGTTGATTGAAGGCTATACACAGTCTGAGTGTAAAAGGGAGTTCACACGCTCATACACTGGGGCATTCTCAGGCACATTTTAATGCAGAGAAGTTTGTGTGTGCATCGACATTCCTGTGTATTTATATACTGTATAAGCTCACGTCTGCGCATACATTCTAAACACATCCATATGTGTTCATTTCAGGGCTCTCAAACAGTGCAGAGGGGCTAAAAGACATTCATTTGTGAGCAGGAGTCGCAAGAAAAATCTCAACTCCACATGACATTTCTGAAACAAAAAAGCTTGTGGCAAATACAACGCATTCCTCTAGCCCTAAGCCTCAGAAACAAGCCAGCTATCCAACCTACCACATAATGGACACAAGCTTTTCGTGCAGTCCTTCAACAATAACCTCTACACCCTGCATTCACAAATGGCATGTGGCATATTTAATGTATCTATGAACAGAAAGCAGCAGAAGAACAGTTTGAGAACTATCCCTTCAAGTGGCTCTTCAAATAGTTTTAGGTGCCCACAGTTCCCCCACATATAACATGATGCTGCTAACACCTCGCTCACAGCTAACATATTGGGAAGTTTCATTCAAGAATGGCTGTCAGGAGCACTCAGACCCTTGATGGAAAGCATTAGAGAGGCAGATGTTTCACTACACTGCGGCTTCTTGGGGCAAAGACTGAATTTGATGTTTGTGCAGTACAAGCATCCTATCAGCACTCCACTGTCATCATCCTCAGATGTGCTAGAGACAATGATTTACCCTACAAACATGCACAGCACAAACAGCGTCAGCTGCATTTGGATATCTTCACTACCAGTTTGGCACTTGACTTCCATTCCTTAACTGGGATAGAAGGAATCTTTGACCTTGTTCTTACAAGGGGTTTTCCTCATGTCCCTGGGCCTGGTGACAGCTCTATACAGAACTATTATTTCATTGTCTCTGAATAGTATAGAGGCATGGCTTCTTCCATGCAATTCACTGATTGCAATGGGATGTGCGCATGCTGACTGGGTTATAAGATCAAGATTGGTCTTAAGCCATTTTGAGAAACATTCAAGAAATTACTGAGGAGAAGGAAAAAACCAAGAGACTTGGTGCACTATTTCCAAGGAATTGCCACTATCCACTCACTTCTTAACTTCCACGTTATAAATAGTTTAGTATTTTACACAGCCAAATTATTTCAAACAGCAGGCACTAAATTTACTTCAGCACCTTAGGGCTCCTATACATGTGCAGGGAGCCTGCTACAGCGCGCTGTAATTTCAGCACCTCGGAGCAGACTTGATTAATCGAGTCTGCTGGAGCGTGGAAATCAACACACTCCAGCAGCCTCCCACGTCACATGTATCAATGTCCTCGTGCTGAAAAATGGCAGTGGGGTGCTTTAAACTAAAACTCATTTGATGAGCTTTAGTTCAAAGTGCCCCCCCCACCCCCCCCCATTTTTCAGCATGGGGATGCTGATACATGTGATGCTCTGGGCTCTTTTAGTTAGTGTGCTTCTTAGAGCTGTGCTAATTAACGCCCCCCACCACCCCCATGCCTCCTGGAGCATGTGTATAAATGCCCTTAAAGTCTAAGAGTGCTTCAGAGAGAAAAGAGCTCTAGGCTTGAGCCCCAGTGTTGCTGTAACCCAAATCACTTGGCTGATGCCTCTGGCAATGTGCATAACGCCGTCATCAAATGCCTGGCTATGGCTAAGAATAAAAAGAACAATTCTCGTGATACACCTTGCCAACAACCAGGCCAGGATTAAAGGATTAATGCAGAAAGTACTGAGCCATGCCTGTTGGGTAATGACTCAGCAAAATACTGCACTTATATGTAACTCGGGAAAAGAGTATTTGCAAGTTACACAGTGCTGTATCTTGTGGGAGGGATTCTTCTGGAACCCTGCAGTGACCATTTTACACCATGAAGCTTGCATATTTGCAGGCATCATTAATGATCATAAAATTACCCAGTACTGCAAAATTCCAGTTGTGCTATTAACCTCATTAATCTCCCCCAAAATAGGCTGTACAGACTAAATGCATTATAAGAAGCAATTCCTTTGCTTGGTTCTTATTTCAATCTAGGCCTCTTGGTCATCTGTACCTTCCATTCTTTGGGATAAGGGAAAAGTAAAGAGTGATCAGCTTTCCCCATGACCTTCACCCTTATAAATATGCATAAGGAAATACCTCTCAGTCTTCTCCTTTGTATGCTAAACATTCCACATTTTTGCAAGCATTTGTTGTATCAAAATTCTGTATTAAAGCTACCTATCCTCATCTCCCTTTTTTGAACCTTTTCCAATGATTCAGTTTCAAGGAGACTGGATTTTCAGCAATAACCGGTGAAACAGTCTGTACTGTGCTAAGACTTCTTCACAAGGATTTTGATGCATTTCCTTCTGTATTGCTTTGGAAGTGTAAAGCAGCATATGGAGTCTACACAAGTTGACTGATTTCTTTTTTGAAATGAATGTTGACTGAGGTCCCAACAGTTTAGAAAAGTTTGATCTATTCTCTGGGTGCGTCTACACACACATTAATGCACCATAGTTACCATGCATTAAGTTTACTACTTGCATAACCAAGTACTAAATCAATAGGCAGTAACTGGTGCTACTACGCAGTAGCGCCGGCACGTGGGTTTTTACAGACATTAACTGTGCAATAGCCTAATAGTACTGCACAGTAGCGTAATAGCATGAGTTTTGCCCAGCATGCTACTGCATACTGTTATTAGGCTACTGCACAGTTAGCACCTGGTATAGACAAACCCTCTGACTTACATCTATTTCTTACCTGTCTCTATGATTTCTTTCTCTCTCACAGCACAGACCAAGTAGGGGATTTTCAAACCAGTCAGTGCTGGACTCTCAGCCTGCTTTTAGAAATTGCAGGTACACTGGTAGTTTTAGCACTGCCAATGTGTTTCCATTCCAGTGGGCCTTTTACAGCTACTTGCCATTTTTCAAGATGGAAATTATCCATGTTTTTTTCTCAAAATATTTTGTGGAGAAAAAAAAAAAAAAATCAGTAAAATGATCCAAGTGTAAAAAGTTTGTCATTATAAGGCATTTTCTATTATCTCATTTTGAACAGCCCCAGTGCTTCAGTGGCCAGAGTTAGAAGTCTGAAATCTGCCAAGGACACAGTGCTGCTTCACTGATGCTTCACCATTGGGTGCACAGGACTAATCTATTTGGATTTCTCCAAGTTTAAATTTTATGCCTGCAAACTGATTCTTTAATATAACAGATTTTTACACACAACTTTTTCCCATTCCTCTGGTACAATGTATGCATACTTTAGCAAGGTAGACTTTCTCCTTTAATACTAAAGTTCATGTGGAATGTGGTCTCTGGAGGGCAGCTGTGGAGTGCCTGATTTTATAGGACCTATTCATCTGCACAAGGGATACTCAAAATTGTGCACTCAAGGAAGCAATGACTCACTGAGTGCACATTTTGTTAAGTACAGAGTATTCTATTATGGCCTAGAAAATAACTCCACAGGAATGGGATTGCTTTATGGGTTCTTGTCCTTTAAAAAGCTGAAGAAGAAATATCTATGAAATTCCATATAGAAAATATTTTTTTAAACTTATTTTAAACATATTTAAAAAAAATAAATAAATAAATATTATTTAACATTTATTTGAAACAGCAAGCTTAAAATTGCTTGAGCAACCTTTACTTTGCCCCCTATATGCATTACAATAGACCATATGTGGCCATATACTACAATCCAATGGAGAACTGTATTTTTCTTCTGCATGTGGATGCAGCATCTTCTACTGCCATGCTCTGCTTTGTGTACCCTGGCAAACAGGTGATGAACTTGTTTCTATACAATATTGACAGTGAATGGGAAAAACTCCTGCTGCATGGCCTTGCCTCATTTGCTGTGCATCCTACAAGAGGCCCTTGACATGGACACAGAGTGTTTGAAAACTGCAAAGCGTTATTTGAAAAACGATGTAATTCTATAACTAAAGACTGTATTGTAATGTAGTGGAGGCAGAATGAAGGTAACTTTAATTGGGGATTCCTGAGTTTTGGATAGGATTTTTTGGAACCTGCACAT